GTAGGAGCTCTGGTGGCGCAGTGCCTAAGGCACTTGACTGCTAACCAGAAGGCTGGCGGTTCAAACCCACCAGCCACTCCTGGGAAGGAAGATGAGGCAATCTACTTCCTTAGAGATACTGCCTCGGAAACCCAAGGAGGGGTCACTATGAGTCGGGTCCGACTCGCTGGCACATAACAACAACAACAACACATAGTTTAAGAGAATAAATTTCTGTTTGTCACATCCATGCAGTTGTAGTATTTCTGTCATAGAAGCACTGGAGAACCGAGACAGAATTTGGTATTGGGGTGTTGCTCTAACAGACACCTAAAACGTGGACGCAGTTTGGGAAGTGGGTAATGAGACACTGAGTTATTCTTCAAACCTTGAGTCAAAACTATCCCCTGAAGTCATCTTTAAACTAAGTAACGGTCTAGCTCAGAAAGGATGGTTGTCATCCTTGAGTATTGTGTCCTTTTTAAAAAAAAAAAAAAACCGATGTGATACTAAAAGGACAACAGCTATTTTGAAGCATTGATGGGGTGGGGGAGCAGGAAGTTTAAGTCAATGGAAGTGAACAACTGGAACAGAAATAACAAGGACATTGAATGTGAACAGCTTGGTCAGTATCACTGATCCTTCTGTCCAGAAACTGTTGAGTGAGAATGGTTTTGCTGTATTTTCATAAAAATAAAATATTCATTTTTTTAAAAAGGAAGTCCGTGTTGACTTTCTGAGTCATTGCATCAATTGCAGAGTTTAACAGACATCTCCCAGGCTGCTTGTGTGCCTTGGAGGATGTTGGGGACCAAGGGATGAAAGAGACCTGGCCCTGCCCTCAGGAAGCTCCCAGTCAGTGAGGAGAGGGCCATTCACATAAAGGACAGTATATGATTTCGTGGAAGTGTCAGGAGGGTAGAAGGGAAGGCCAGCCTGGAAGAAATCCTGGGAGACTCCCCAGAGGAGGTGATGTCTGTGGTAAGACGTAAGGGACAAGGAAAAGTTTGTCCAAGGAGACAGGTGATTTGGAGAAGTAGTGTTTCATGCAGTACAGACGAAGGTCTTTAAGCAAAAGAGAACATGGGCAGTTGCAGGAACTTCCCAGAACTCTCTTCAGCCTCTAGACTCCTTTGCACTTACAGGTTATTCATTATTTGTGAGGTGGTGTGTTGTGTGTCCACTCATGAGAACAAGCTGGATCATTTCATCCATTAGGCAAACTCGGGCAAAGTGCTTGGGACCCATTAGCTCTCTAACAGCCTATGCAGAAGTTTGCAACCAAGAAACTAGAAGTATTACTGGCTACAAAGAAAACAGCAAAAGCAAACTGAACAAATGTTCATTAGAAGGTCCACAAAACCAGCCAACTGGTAGCCTGAATTGCACCCAACTTTTCTGGAGCTGAATATAAATTCTATTTATTATGTGGGTGCCTTGGTCTATGTTGGAGGTAGTATGGAGTGAGGTCTTCAAAATAAAGACACCTTCAAAGGAGCTCTGGTGGTGCAGTGGGTAAGCACTCAGCTGTTAACTGGAAGATTGGCAGCTTGAAACCACCAGATGAAGCAATCTGCTTCCGTAAAGGTGACAGCCTTGGAGACCCTGTGGTGCAGTTCCACTCTGTCCTCTAGGGGCGCTGTGAGTCAGAATGGACTCCAAGGCAGTGGGTGTGGTTTGGGCTTTGCTTCTGTGAAGATTGACAGCCCTGGAGACCCTGTGGTGCAGTTCCACTCTGTCCTCTAGGGGCGCTGTGGGTCAGAATTGATGGCAGTGGGTGTGGTTTGGGCTTTGCTTCTGTGGAGATTGACAGCCTTGGAGACCCTGTGGGGCAGTTCCACTCTGTCCTCTAGGGGCGCTGTGAGTCAGAATGGACTCCACAGCAGTGGGTTTGGTTTCGAGTTTTGCTTCCATGAAGATTGTCAGCCTTGGAATCCTATGGGGGCAGTCCTACTCAAGCGACCTATCAGGTCGCCGTGAGTTGGAATCAACTTGACGGCCACGGGTTTGGTTTTGGGGTTTTGATCAGGCACTAAAAGCAGAGGGGTGGTGTCTGTTTCAGCAGTGGCATGTTCGCTGTTGTTAGGATGTTGTGTTTGAGTCCATTTGACTTGCAGTGACCCCACGCAACAGAGTAGAACTGCCTCATAGGGTTTTCTGAGCTCTAATCTTTAATCACCAGAAGTTGGAAAATAAGGTCTTGGTGATAGAAATGATGCTGGAGGCCAT